AAAAAAAATCGTATTTCTCCATTTTAGCAGTTATCTGCATCTGATGATTTTTATACGACCAAGTATTTTTTGTTGATATTCTAGCACCAGCTGCACTTGTTTCTTCTTGCAGGTGTTCTCCATGAGTTTTGCGAGACTATTTGAGAATTTCGAGAACGTCGACGTTGAAGAATGTAAACTCATGGGTGAGATACATATAGTCATTTCTCCGTACCGTGGATCTTCGATCTTGAAAACTTCCACCCACGACTTCAATTATTTTTCGTATTTCCATCATTTCTACTTCAAGATGAACTCTCATATTCTCTGTAAATGTCGGAAATTCAGCTGAATTAGCAACCTTACTTGATCGGAAATTGTATTTGGTGGAATTCGGCAAAAATTACTCGAAATCAATAAAAAATTGCGGATGAAGATCATTCAAATCATCTGTTGAACGAAGTAATTATCACTGCGGCTACGAATATTCAGAAGCCCTTATGAGAGACCAGTTAGAATGAGGAAAGAATTCTAGAATTTTTTCAGTCTTCACCAAGTGTTTCAAAAATTAGTCGAAAATATGGGCCAATAGCTGTATGCTCGATCTCATCGAAAAAACAATTTGGCTTTTCAATTTGCTATTTTTGAGTAGTATTTGAATGCTTCATTTTTCACCTAATTCCAGGCGAAGTGCCATCATGGCTCAAAGGCACAATGGTACGAAATGGACCGGGTATGTTCAAAATTGGCGATACTGAATATAGACATTGGTTTGATGGCATGGCATACATCCAGCGGTATCATTTTGTGGATGGAAAGGTTCTTGCGCATTCTGATTTTACACAAGAGTAATTTTTTGTTGCAGATGTACTACTCAGCTCGATATTTGGAGAGCGATGATTATAAGGCTAACATGAGAGCCAATCGTATTATTGCTGGTTCTTTTGGAACACGAACATTCCCGGATCCATGCAAAACGCTGTTTCAAAGGTATGCAAAAGTTTAAGTTCTTGCGTATTCTAACGAGAGTCAGTTTAACCTCATTTATTCTGCTACTGCTGAGTTCCGTTCCTAACTTTCTTCTGTAACTTTCGGCCTCAAACACTCACGCTTTTGATACGTTGAAGTTTTTAAGAGTCCAGAAATGCTAAGCGAGTCTTCGAGGGAACCCCACTGTAAAATGTGCTCCATAAAAGTCCCGTCTTTTCTGTGTCATTTTGGGAAGCGGCTTTGTATACGCTCTCCTCTCTCTCTTTCCCTCTCCCCCCATCCTCATCTTTTTGCATAATTCATCCATTTCAAAAGCACTAGATCTAAAATGATAACTGCCGAATTGATTGATATTGGGCAATTCGCCAAGGTTCGACTGTACGAGCATTGTAAACCGCGTGCTATCCGTCATTCTATTTTGTAACGGTGTTGTTGATGTGGGCGAAGAGTTATTTTCGGTCAGTAGACAGCAGAAAACACTGGCATGGAAGCTACGTCATAGCACGAGAAAATTACTGTGTCAATTTCAAACGAGGAGAAAATTGAAATTTATAACGAATTATTTTCGCAAAAAGCTTATTTGGTGTCTACTCTCTACTTTATTCCCTTTGATCTTTCTAGTTCGTTTAAGTTATCAGGGAGAAGCCCACATCTAATTTAAGAGGCGATAAGATTTATTCGAACACG